GAGAGAGAGAGAGAGAGAGAGAGAGAGAGAGAGAGAGAGAGAGAGAGCGAAAGAGAGAGAGAGAAACAGAAACAAACAGAGATGACTCAGTGTTTTTTCCTGAAAGGGAAAAGGCCTGCCCTCTTATCTCAGCATCTCTCCCCTGTTGAAGCCACAGGGCTCCCCACCCTCCACAGGTGGCTAACGCCCTCGCTCATCGTGGGAACTTTGCTGTCTAGGACGGAGGGACTGATGCCTGGAGCAGGGTGTCTTTGTCTGGGGTGAGGCTGGGAGGCGGGGAGGGCAGGAGCCTTGGAGCCAGCTGAGTGAGGGGGCTCAGTGTACCTCACTTTTCCCTTGGCTGATATGTCTGCTGTCTGATGCCTGGGTACCCAGCGGCAATGAAGTTCTTAGAAAGTTGAATAAGCAGTCAGGGGATGAGCATCGGAGATGCACGATGCACTTGGGTTTTTCTCCTCTACTTTGCAAGAATCTGGTGACCAGATGGAGACAGTGGCCCAGACCTAGGCCAAGAGTACAACAGAGTAGTAGTCAGAAGACCTCAGCTGTAGTCCCAACCCTGATACAGCCTCACCACCATATGACCTAGGCTAGTCCCACCTCCCACTCACGGCCTCAATTTCCTCATCTGTTGAATGCATAGAACACCTCCTGTGCTCGCTTAGGTGTATATGGGTGGGGTGCTCCCCTAGGGTGTGGCAGAATAACCCACCTACACTCTGCACAACTCTGCCTTCATCTGAAAGTGCCTGCCCCAGACGAAGGCTAATAACCATGCACATCAATCATGATGCTTATTAACAAAAATGGTGCTGTTATAAATTAAGACTCATCAACCAATCAATCAACAAGCATTAATTAAGCCCTTGCTATATGTCAGGCATTGCACTAAGTGAGGGCTGGGGGATACAAAGAGAAAGTGCAAACAGCCCCTACCCCAAGGGGCTTACATTCTAATGATGAGAGATAACATGCAGAAATATAGGTAAGTGCAAGAGAACATACAAAAACACGTGCAAAGTAACTTGAGGAGGAATATTCTAGAAAGTGGGGGAGGAGGACTGGGGGAGGCTTCCTGAAGAGGGCAGTGCTGGGGCTGAGACCTGAATGAAGGAATTATAAGAGATGGAGGTCAAGTGGAAGAGTATGAGGAAGGCATGAGGGACAGCCAAGGCAAAGGCCGAACATGAGAGAGGGATTAATTGCTATTTAGAACTCCCAGTGCCTGGCACATAGTAGGTGCTTATCAAACTCAAGTTGATTTATTGCTATTTAGAACTCCACAGTGCTGGGCACTTAGTAGGGGCTCAATAAATGCTTGAGATTAAGGATTTCCTCAAGGATTTTCAGTAGGCCTATCATTTCATTTAAACAGGACTGACCTTATGGGGACTCTCATCTGGGGGTATTCTGTCAAGGGGGGTGCTTGTCTAAGAGGGGGATTAGACAGAATGGTGTTGTCCGTTGGGGAGACCAAATAAGCTTGGGAAGTTTGCCCACTTTTTCATTTTGGGAGGGAGACTGAGGCTTCTTGCTGGCAGTGTGAAAGACTGGCATATGCTAAGGGTAAAAATAGAGGCATCTGGCTCTGCTCCGTGCTTCTAAGGAGGTGTGGGGAGGCAGCCAGGGTGGGAGAGAAGGGGCTGGGTTAGTATGGTGAAGTTGCATGGGGATAATAGATATACTTCATGCTAGTCTGTGCCAGTCAATCTGGTTTAGGGCAGGTAAGGGGAACAGGAAGGGTGTCTTCACTTGAAGGCCGGCCAACTGGCCTTTCGATTCAAGAGACATGTGATTTGATCTTAGCTGCTTCTCTCGTGCAATCTCCAAACTCCCCATCTTTCAGGAAAGCTTCCCTTACCAACCAAACACACAAAGATCCCTCCCTTGTCTAGGCTTCTCTGGTATTTGACAGTCTGCACTACTTCACGGAATACTTGAAAAGCTCACAAGATTCCCAGCTGGAACGAGCTTAGGAAGTTACTTAGTTCAGCTCCCTCCTTTTGAACGTAAGAAAACAGGCCCGACGGTGGGGTGGGGAATGACTTCCCTAAGGACAATTAGCTCTTCCCAATTCCTTTATGGTTTTGATGAGTGGAAGCCCCCTAATATGTCCTCTGGTTGGCCTAGTAATGGTTGGGGGCTGGTGTTCAGACCTGGGATTCGAACCCAGGTCTTCTGACTCCAAAGTGAGCTGTCAGTTCACTAACTCATGCCGTCTTATGTAATGGTTTTCTTTGTTGGTGTCCTCCCTCCCTAATCATAGTGTGATCTTCTGGCAGAGATAGAGCTCTTTTTGTCCTCTACCTGGGAGCTGTTCAATAAATATGTGATTTGTTGATGGAGATGAGACCTCCCAACTCTCCATGGGGGTTGGAACTGGGTTGAGGGCCCAGGTCATTGCTGTTGTGGGGGTGGTCGTAATGGTAGTGGTGGTGTGTGTTTGTGTGGAGCAGCGGGGAATGAATAAGGTGAGAGGAGGAGATACATACCTGGTTGGTGGGTGCTAAGGGAGAAAAGTCACTTCTTACAAGGAATATTCCCTCTTCCCCTTCCCCTCCTTTCCTTCCTTAAGCTCTCTGGGAGGTAGTGTTACACAGTAGAAAGTGCTAGAGTCAATACACCTGGGTTGGAATCCTGGCTTTGCCACCTATGTGTCTTTGGCCAAGTTGCTGCGATTCCCTGAACCTCTATTTCCTCATCTATAAATTGGAGGGGATGTACTAGATAACTCTGGCGGTATCGGACATCCCTAAATCTCTGGGACTTGTACCAGATGGTTACTTCTAGCTCTGAATCTATGAGCCTGGTAAGCTGAGAGCACATCCCATCCTTCAACTTTGGAAACTGTCCCCGAATCCACCCCTTCTTACACCTCTGACCACAGACCCAGACCCTTACTGCCAATTGTTTTTTTGTTTTGGCAGGATCGACAAGAACATGCTGGCCAGCCTGAAGGTCAAGTAAGTAACTGCTTCCCCTTTGATAAAGCTTGCAGGTCAAATTTAAAGCTCCCTCTATGGAGGGTACCAGTGTGGGCCCCTCTCCTGTCACTTTCCCCTCAATAAACAAACAAGGAATTGAAGAATGGATTTTACCAATCCTCTGGGCTTGGAGAAGACTGGACCTAGGGTCTCCTTGCTTAGGATTTCCCTCCTTGGGGAAAGGAGTGACTGGAGAGTGAGCTATGGGGACAATTATGCTGGAGGCAGCTCAAACCAGCTCCTGAGAGCTTTGTTAATTTTCAGTGTAAATGTTTATATCTCAGATGTTGGCAAATGCTACAAATCAGGGCTTAATTGTTGTGCTGTTGCTTGTTTAGACTTAAGAAAGTGATGGAGAAAATGTTAATAATGCAGATTAAATTTAAAAGCCTATTGTATGTACATTTATTTTTCTGGAGAGCCAGTTGTTAAACATTTACCAGCAGACTGCTAGATGGAAGTTTTGAATAGCTCATGTATATAAGAAAATCCTTCCAATTATTAGCCTTTATCAAAATTGGTTCCTTTCCTTTTAACTCTCCAACTAGAGGTTTTTAGGTTAAGTTGACTTCTGCAGAGATTAAGCATTCTACCTCAAAACCCTGAGCCCTGTGTTAGGCACTGGGGGGGGGAGGGGGGGAATGAATGTCAAGAGTACAGGGATTTTAATTGCTGATGGAAGGAGGGCAAAGGTTGCCAGCTCTACTTCCTGCAACTGCATCTTTTCAGTCTTAGCCTGAGATGATTTGCATGACAACCAGGGGCATTTTGTGGGTTGAAAGGAATCTCCTTATCTCAAATCTGCCTTGCTCCTTTGCAGTTTGCTAAGTAGAGACTCCCAAATGTGTCTCCTGCTTGACTTAGTAAATGTAAACACACTGGTGGGGGTTAATGTACTATAGTTTTGAATGGATGTGGATCTACTAAACACTGGAGGAGTTTCCTAAGGGACCATGTATGGGGGGAGGGGGGGAGATGGTACAAAAAGTAGAGAAGGCAAGGGGTTAGAGCCACACTATCACTGGGGAAATGAACCACCTAAGTGATAAGTGACTTTGGATGACTTAGGAAAAGACTTATCATCAGTTACAAGGCAGTATCCTACTAACTAAGTATGAGAGAAGCAAAAGGGTGATGCGGAAAAAGTAGTGGAAGCTTTGAACCTTGTTTTGAAGCTGGATTCCTTTCCATTTGTGCTTCTCACGGGATCAGAACTATCTTGATTCCAGTGATCAGCTGAAATGATTAAGCTAAGTCTGTGATTCCCCCCCCCCCACCTCCAAGTGACTGTCACTGAGGGGGCAACAATTCGGCAGGGGTTAGGACCTGCTGGAGCGTCTGGCACTGAAGTTGGGCTTCAGCTGGGCTGAACCCCAGGGACACTTATCCAGTCTGGCTATGCCTGACTTGGGAATAGCTTCTCAGGTAACTCACTTAAGGTACAAAGCTTTGTTCTGCCAGACTGACCATTTTCATTTCATTAGTGTTAATAGGACAGTCATTTCCTCCTACTTGTGTTACCTCTTTCATCCAGCATTCTAGTCCTAGGTCCCTAACTCCTTAGCTTTATAGAATAACAGAATTTCACAGTTAGGAGGAACCTCAGTGGACACCTGGTCCCATCCCAAAGCTGGACCAGAATCCCATACCCAGTAAGTGAGCATCAGGTCTTTGTTGGACCACCTCAAGTGAGAGAGAACTCTCCACTTCCCGAGGCAGCCCCTTCAATGTTGGACAGCTCCCAATATTAGGACCTCAGTATTAAATCTGCCTCTTCACAATTTCCATTGTTCCTGGTTCAGCCCTTAGGACCGAGAGGAAGTCTAATGCATTTTCCACCAGAAAGCCTTTCAGATACTTGAAGACAGGGATATCATATCCCTTGTAAGTCTTCTTTTTTGGGGGAATTCAGAAGCTTTTGAGGAATTTAGAGACAGTTGGCATTCCAGGAATTGTTTATGATGCCCAATGGGTTTCCCATTAGTCAGACCACCTAGGATGAGGGTTCTTAATCAGGAGTCCATGGATCCCTAAAGGGTCAATGTATAGATTTCAGGAAGTCTATGAACTTGAATGAGAAAAAAAAATTAAAGGCAACCAGAGTCTTATCCAAGTCTTCCCACTTTCTAGCTAGTGTGACCTTGAGCAGGGACTGACCACCTCCCAAACTTGGTTTCCTTCTTTGTATTATGAAGGATTGTGCTATCAAAGAAAGCACATGGGATTTGCAGTTACAGGATCTGGGCTAGAATCCCAGCTCTGTTATCTATTACCTGTGTGAGTAGGGATAAGCCACATGTCCCTTTGGGCCTCAGTTTCCTCCTCTATAAAATGAGGGGATTGGACTAGATGATCTCTGTGGTGCCTTCCAGGTCTAGATAGAGGTTCCTATGATCATCCTTTCATGGGAAAGTGACTGTAGTCAGACTGAGGAGAAAGGGAATTTGAGTCATTAACCAAGCATTTATTAAGCACCTACTGTGTTCCAGGTACTGTACTGAGTGATTTACAAATATTGTCTCATTTAATCCTCATAACAATCCTGTGAGGTAGATGCTGTAATGATCCTCATTTTATATTTGAGGAAACTGAGGCAAACAGGGGTTAAGTGGCTTCCTCAGGATCACACGGCTAGTAGGTATCTGAGATTAGGTTTGAGCTTCGGTTTTCCTGACTCCAGGCCCAGAACTCTATTCACTGTACCAACTAGTTGCCTTCCCAGCCCCCTCCCCAACCCTGAAATCTCTGGACTGTCAGACATCTGACCGGGAGGTATCCAAGTCGGGCCCGGATCTGTTTTGTGAAGGTGGGAGAAGAAAATAGTCCTGATTTGGAAAAAGAGTGTAGGCATGGGAGCCTTAGGGAAGGAGGAGAGATTAGGAACAGGAGCAGGAGCTGTCCTCTCTGGAAGTCCAGTCTTGATAGGGGGGCTGTGAGGTGCCCTCTTTGCCTCTTCCTCTCTGGTTATTGCCCTCCCCTTCCTCCTCCCCCATTTTCCTTATTTCATTTTACCAAGGGATAAGATGTCTGTTTACTTCATGTGTGGTGGATGGAGGTCTCAGAATCAGGAAATCTAGTTTGAACCATGCCTCTGCTACTAGCTGGTTGACCCTTGTGCAAATCATTTGTGATCTTTCAGGTTCAGTTTTCTCATGTCCAAAATGGGGAGGTGGAATGAGATTGGACTCAGTGATCTCTTAAGTTCCCTTTTGGCTTGAAATCTTTGATTCTTTGTGATAGGCTGGGTAGCTTTGCTTTTTTTGCTGAGAGATACTGAACTGGTAACCTGGGCACAAGGATGTGGAGGGCTGAGACCTCGATCAAGATGCATGCCCCACTGATGACTGGTCCACAGTGTAACATCTTCCAAGAAAGAGAAGTCTGGGATTTCTAGTTATTGTTCTTTCTAAGGAGAGCACAGAGAGGACTTGGCCAGGAGAGAACTGGACATAGGCCTAGGAGCTGGGGTGAATCTGTTCTGTTGAGCCTTAACAATGCGAGAGGGAGCAGCAGTGGACTGCCTTCCTAAGGACAGAATTACAGGTACTTGCTCTCTGTCTTGGTCTCTGGGGTCCCACTGTTGACTGTTCAGGCTCTTACATGAAAGTTCTGACAGTCTGTCTATGAGGGGGAAGGGAGAGAAAGAGAAATGAGCAGCTGGAGGCCCCCCTCTCTGGACTGACAGGCAGCGGACTACTGTTTGCCAAAAGCTATGGTCAGGCCTGGATCAGGTTTGAGAAGTTGGGAGGGAAATGGGTTGGGTCACCTGTGGGATCAGGTGAGTCCAGGCTGTAGAGTGTCCTATGACCCCCTTGGGTGTTCTGTCTCTCTCCACCCCCAGGTGATCTCTCTTTATCCAAGCCAGAGGCTTCATACCAGGACCTCATGAGTCTGGGCTATTGATTTGAAGGTAGAAGGTCAAGTCAGTCCTTAAACTCTGGAGGGAAACACACTCTGTGATGAAACCCCCTCTCTCTGGAATGAACCTCCAAGTTTGTGAATTCCCTAGGCAGGGATCATGTTAATGGGAGAGCTGGGGAACATGGCAGCTGTGGTAGAAATGGCTAGGGGACTAGGGGTTCAAAGTCTAGCTCTGCTACTTTATTATCTGCATGACCTTGGGTAAATCACTTAACCTTTATGAGTCTCAGTAGCCTCTCTAAAATGAAGGGACAGATTAGATGTCCTCTAAGGTCCCTTCCAACTCTGAATCCCTATGGATTTATGGTGCTACTGTGGTTTCAGTGGGAATAGGATCCGTTCCTTCCCTCCTTCTCCTTTCGCCTCTCTTTTCCCTCTTCTCTTTTCATCTCTCTCCTTTCTCCTCTCTTTCTCCTCCTTCCTTCCTTCTCTCTTCTTGCTCCTTCTTTCTTCTCTCTTCTCTCTCCTCTTTTTTATCTCTCCTCTTTCCTTTCTTCCCTCTCCTCTCTCCTTTCTCCTCTCTCCTCTCTCTTTTCTTCTCTCTTTTCTCTCCTTTCTTCTCTCTTTTCTTTTCTCTCCTTCCTCCGTCCTTCTCTCCTTTCTTCTTTTTCCTCCCTCCTCTTTCCTGTCTCTTATCTCTCCCAGAGGAAAGGAGATGCAAAGGGAGTGTCAGGCTTCATGGGGAATTTGAGCCTCTCAGCTGTCTGGGAAGGAGGGGTGGGAGAACCCAGGCGCTGAGAAAACACAGAGCCTCACATGACCTCAAGGGGCAGAAGGGAAGCAATGGGAACAGAAATCTGGCTTTTCTTTCTTCTTGACATCTCTCAGGGACTCAGGGACAGCTTGGAGCCTGGACCCTCTGATTCTGCAGCCACAGTTCTGGTTAGATTCTCTGGGAGCCCCTGCTTCTAAGATGTGCTTTTAGACAGGGCCAAGCCTGAACTGCAGAGACTGAGCAGGAAGTGACCAGGCCCTTTTTTGGATGATGTCTTTCCTAGGTGGTCCTCAGTGTGCAAGGGGACGTGTGTGTGCATTTATATGTATGTGCATACGTGTCT